ATGAAGTGGAACATGTGGGAAGGTGACTGCCTCTCTGGGGAGGAGGAAAGGAGACCTGTGAGCTGGATTTCCAACCCTGAGGCTAGACCAGTTGCCAGAGCAATGGGTGGTATAAGGGAAAGCACTGGCGTTTGCAGGGGCTTGAGCCTCACTGGAACGTCCACCAGCCACCTTCCTGCCTTTATCCACACCTTATTCCTTTTCCTGCAGGGTTGGGATCACTCCAGCATAAAAACAACCCAGCAGAAAGCTGTGTGTGGGTTTTTGTTTGGTCTTGCTGGAGGCAAATTCTGTTTGCCATCACCAACACCCCCTGCTGAGCCCCGAGGTGTGAGCAGCCACCTTCAGGTGAGCAGCACAACACATCTCCTTGGAAAGGTGAGAGCCAGCCAGGACCTTCCAGGCAGGAGCAGCAAAGCTCTGTTTTCCTGTTAGAGCTTGGATGCCAGGACAGTGCTGCTGCAGGAGGAAGGCCACTGCTGCTCCCTGTGACAATTCCTTGGCTAATGAGCACACCAATGTCCTTGTGTGTGTTGGCAAGAGGGAGGCAGCTGCAGCCTGGAAGGTACAGGCATTCAGGGAGGTGTCTTTGTAGGGAGCAGAGTCTGGGGTTCCGGAGAAGATGAGGAAACTGCTGCAGGGCTTTGCCAGCAGAGGCTGGGGGCAACCCCGTGGGATTTCCTGGGTTTGGCATGGCCTGCAGAGGTTTCCCTAGCAGAGATGGAGTTCCTGCTGGAAATGGCTTCTTGCTTTTGAAGCCAAAGCAGGACATCTGCAAAAACAACAAAACCTCTAAAAGAAGCAGCCAATGTTGCTTAAGTTCTGGGCAAAGCCATTAGCTGGAGGGAGAAAACCAATGTGCTACCAAAAAAGCCATATCCAGGGTTGAAATTATCCTGTGAAGGGCCAGGAGTAAAAATGCTACTGATCTCATGTTACGGGGGACTAGAAGACCTCTTGGCAGTGCCATGATAGTAGGGTAGACCTCCAAGGAATCCTGGTTGGTGCAAGGGGATGAGGAGCCCTCCCACAGGGCAGGACCAGGGTGGCACTGGCTGCATCTGCAGTGGGAGTCCAGATGCCTGAGGCCAGAGCATCCTGGCTGGAGACTTGTCCCTTTGCCTCATGCAGGTAGCTAGAGTTTGAGCACCTGGAAGGGGATTGTTGCCACTGGGATGAGTCAGGGAAGGCATGTCTGATGTGGGGCTGGGTCCCATTCCTCCCTAGGTATGACTGCAAGGTCCCTGTTCACATCACATCAGCATGTTTTCCCCTGTATTTAATTCTATTTATTTATTAAACTGTGCTTTTCTTAAGCAGCATTTCTCTTTGTCATTGTCTGCCATCATGGTCACTTTGGCCATGTCAAGCCTGGAGCTTGCTGGATCTCAAAGGGGGATGGAAAGACAAGAGGTTTGTTGTCTCCCCAACAGCAGGTCAGCCCCAGATGCAGTGATGGACTGGGGAAACCAGGGTCTGGGACATACCAATTTCCTAGGTCTGTAGACATTCCCACAAAACTCCCAATGGAGAGAAACGAGAGGGACAAGCTGTGCCCTCACTGCCAGCAAACCCTTTGTGCAGCTTTTCTGTTTGCTTTCCAGACCCATTTCCAGACAGACCTGTTCATGGAGCAACCCATGATAATTTCTAGATGACTCTCCCAGGGTATCCAGCCTGCTGTGTTATCAGCAATGTGCAAGTTTGCTTTCCTAGTCGTTCTGAAATCTATCACACCATGGGCCTCCCCTTCCGCCGCCATTGCTGCCATCCATTACCACCCACCTAAACTGATATTTAGTTAATTTTACACTTTGCAGAGTGAGCTGGGCATGCTCATTTGACCAGCTTTCAACAGCTCTCCTGGGACATGGAAGTCAGCCTGCTCTGTGGTGCTGTGCCCATCGATACCAGCTCTCTGTGGAAGGATGCTCAGGGAACAAACGCATCCACCTGGGAAGTCAGCAGCAAGGCGTGGTGAGAGCCGAGTGCAGGACCAGTGCTGTGGCTGCTGTGCTGTGTGGGATCCCACTGTCACGGGGATCTTGTCCCAGAGGGGACAAGGCAGAGCCTATGGCAACACCAGGCAGAGCTACTCTTGAGTGGGAAGGCTGAAGAGCAGGTGGATGAGCTCAGGGTTAGGTGAGAAGGACGCCGTTGCTCCTTTGTATGAGTTTTGACTGGCGTTGGGACTTTGCCCCTAACTGTACTTTTATTTGTTCTTTAATCTGGGTCACCTTATCAGAACCCTTTGAACAGCCAAACACATCCCTGCTTACCTGAGGAACAGGCTTTGCTGTTTCTTTTTGATTGGTTTTGTTTGCTTACCAAAGACCTCCAAGAGATTAGGGTGATGCCTCACAAACCTGGGCTTTGTCTTGGAGCCTCTGAAGGCTGCAGTGCTTGCAGGACTTGGGCACTGAAAGAACTCTATATTTTAGGGCGACTTTGACATTAGACCAGATCCCTCAGAGCCTTGTAGGATCCAGGGTCTTCTGAACCATCCTGAGACTATCCTTGTTGTTTTCTCCAAACAAAACACCTGGTTACATGTTACTGGGAGGACTTGCTGGTCTGTCTGCAGAAGAAACAAAAGTGGGCATCCCAAGCACAAGATGCCATGGGCCCTCCACAGCAGAGATAGGAAGAGCCCCCCCTTGTCATTAAATTTTGTCCAGTTCTGAGCTCCTCAGTACAAAAAAGACATGAAGCTCCTGGGGTGGGTCCAGAGGAGGGTGACAAAGATGATGAAGGAACTGGAGCATCTCTTACAAGGAAAGGCTGAGGGAGCTGGGCTTGTTCAGTCTTGAGAAGAGACACTGAGAGGGGACCTCACCTATGTCTGTCAGTGTCTGCAGGGAAAGGTCAGAGGCTGTGCTTGAGGCTGCCCAGCCGTGGGACAAGAGGCCATGGGCAGAAACTGATATTCAGGAAGAACTTCTTCCCTGTGCAGTGACCGATCACTGGAACAGATTGTCCAGAAAGGGTGTGGAGTCTCCCTCACTGGAGATATTCCAGAACCATCTGGACACAACTGTGTGCCATGTGCTCTGGGATGACCCTCCTGGAGCAGGGAGGTGGGACCAGATGAGCCTCTGTGGTCCCTTCCAGCCTGACCCAGTCTGTGCTTCTGTGGGTGAATTTCATGCGGTTTAGTTTGCTCCCATTGACTCCTGTCCTGTCATAGAGTACTGCTGAGAAGAGCCTGGCTTCCTGCCTTCATTCCCTCCCATCAGATGTTTATACACATTTATGAAGTCCTCCTGAGACTATTTTTCCCCAGGATAAACAACTCAAAAGCTCTCACAGCTGCTACTTGTAAGAAGGATGCTCCAGGCCTTCATCGCCTTTGCGGCCTCGCATTGAACTGGCTCCAGTCAGTGCATCTCTCTTGTGCTGGGGAGCCCTGAGCTGGACCCAGCAGCAGCAGTGTGACCTCACCGGTACTGAGCAGAGTGGGCAAGGAGGCTGCTGGAGCTCAGGAAGCTGTGTTTGACCTGGGAATGGCCAAAGATGTTTTTAGGATTCTCCAGGGCCAGTGGGAGCCCTGTGCTGCTGCATCTGAGCTGGAGGAGTGCATAAGTGCTGGGTCCAGCCCTGGCTCTGCCTCAGGCAGTGCCTGGTGCCCACAACAAAATAGTGGATGTGGTTTTCAGATGAAGCCTGGACAGAAAGGCCATATTGATCGAGGGAAACTGGGTGGAGCAGGTGTTTACTAAGCAAACACCTTTTGAAACATATCAGCAGGCAAACAGGGTGGGGATCTCATGGTCTGATGCTGCCTCTTATTTATGGAATGCATGACAGGGTGCCCAGATAATTGTGCCTCACCTGGCGGAAAACCCCAACAAAACAGAGCGAAATCTAGAAGAGGTTTTATGTTTTCTAGGAAAGCTACGGCATCAACCTATGTCTACTGAACAGATACAGTTACCCCTGTCACTACAGGACAGACATTGAGGGGCTGAAGCGTGTCCAGAGAAGGGAATGGACCTGGGGAAGGGTCTGGAGAGGGAGGGACTGGAACAACTCTGGG